TCTCCATTTATGTCAGGTAAATGAATGTATGTCTCCGTTGTTCTGCAGTTTCTGGTGTAAGTTTGTGCATTGTCTTATTTCTAAGTTAATGCATTGTCTTATATTGGATTAAACTCTGTAATTCTGTGACGTCAACACGCATTGCTGGTTTTCCTTGTGGCCACACGCAGCTCGCCGGGAGGGCCTGGGATCTAAAAGGAAGAGAGAGAGCCAAACTTTTTCCAAGTTATCTATTTTAGAATATTTTCTTCCGTAACAGTAGTTAAGTAGCGCTTCCCGATCTCATTGTGGCTATCCAACCCATGGTCAGTACAGGGCTTATCCTGGAAGAACAAAGTCAGTGGCTTGATGCAAGTAGCCAGGTTTCCATAGAAAACTTTTGACCAGTCTGCTGAATGATTTGATGGAGTTGTCTCCGTAAAGTGTCTTGAGATAACATTGTCATGATTCTCCCCTTTTGGGACTTTAGTTTTCAGTTATTACCTGTTCTCTTTTGTTGATCTTTGGTTTATTTTCTAATATAATCAAGCAGTTTTTAGTTACTCTATGTTGCCCCCTTGTGCTTGTTTCATTTCCCCTTGGCTTCCTTCTAGTTAGTTCCACTCACACCTGCTCTGTATTCAGCTCATTAGCCCATCCTTTGTTCTGTTCCCCTTATATACTCCACCTCTGCAGTCACTCAGTGCTGGTTCCTTGTTGTTGTTTTGTCTTTCCCTCGTCTCTGGCTTCCCACGTTAGTTTTCCCTGATGCTTTCTGGATTTTTGGTTCTTAGTATTTTGGATTTTTGGTTGTCTGTCTTTTTTTGTCTGCCTCCTGGTCTCTGCATTTGGGTCCTCAACCAACCTCCATACAAATCATGACAAACACATGTTGTGAATTGGTTCAATGTAATTAAATTAAATGGATGTAAAGTAAACCTTTACATCAATTTAGCTTCATTACTTTATAATGAAATGCTAAAGCATCAATTAAAGTGAGAGTCTGATCTTTGTAAAGCCTAAATGTTTCTCTTAAAGCTTGGCAAAGAGTCAGAAAACTTCTGTAAATCTCTTAGGGAAGATGTTTAATGAAAACATGGGTACTATCAGCTGTTGTTTTCCACTTCACGAAGTAAGGGAGAGGAAAGTGCACTACATTTTGTAGATAATCTTCAATGATTGATTTCTTAATAATCTGGAAGGTTGATTAATTTTTATAGGATGGTTGAGACATTTGAACTAGAGGTGAGTTTAGCTGACATTTGAGCACAGATGAAAAATATCTGAACATTGTGTGAACTACAAACCTGATATCAGTGACGACAGTACTGCTGCTGAAGCTCCTCATAAGGAAATTGGCACACAGAATAGTAGTGAGTTCAGCATTCATTCTTTGCATGCTTTGTAAGTCAATTGTCACTGTTGCTAGGCGACAGAGCTTATGCTGAGTGAGGTGCGATGAAAGTTGGAGAAGGCTGCACCTGTTCAAATCTATTACCAAAATCCTCTGGCCTCCTCATTTCCATGATTTATGAAAGACCTGTTTCAGGTAGACCGGGTTCTTTGGATGTAGCTGGTGGATTTGAATACACTGGTGCAGTTGTACATAAAGTCCATTGCTGGAAAGCAGACACTCACAAGACACTCCTACAGGTGTATTTGACCCTTCCCTTCATGGTGTTGAGGATAAAACTTCCAACTCACAGGCACACACTGCCTTTGGATTTTCCCTCTAGATACTTGCTGGCTTCTGCTCGTCAGTCTGCTCTGCTTCACTTCTGGAACTCTCTGGGCGGCTCCCGCTGCATGCTGTGGAGAAATCATCCTACTAGGTCTCACTTCTTCCTCAGGGTTTGAACTGAACTTATAAACCAGGTTAGTGACTCACATGCTCACTATCGTTCCCCGTTAGGGTTTCGTGGTCACTAACCTGAGTTTCCACCTCTATAGAGATTCCAGCTTTCCTGCCCCGTCTGATGAGCCGCAAAGTTTGTTTTGTTTGAAATCACTCTGATCTGTCTGCCTTAAAAGTATACTATGCAACCGGTGTTGATTTTCCAGCGAGGCTCCCCACAGAGGGCGAAAGTAAAAGTGCACTGTCGTAAATATGCACAGCTGTTCTCCTGGTTTCTCCGTCAAGCCAGGCG